CTCCCACACGGCAAATATGTAAACCAGTTAATAGAAAATTTTATTTAAGATGAATTTCTCCTTTGTTTTCTATATTCATACTGATATTTTTACTGTGTTTTAAATAAAGTTCTCATATCAACTTGGCTATGTGGGAAAAATGTTTCATGGAGGTCAGAAGCATATCAAAAGAATGAAGCTGTACCATCCGAAACACTTGAAAGCTTTTTTTCAAATTGAATTTTTTTCATGATTATTCTAATCCTTCTTTTTCAATTTTTTTCTTGTTTTGAGTTTTGTTTTGATGGATACCTACCACTATTTCACTCAAATAATCTGAAGTGTATTAAAGATATAATACCAATCCAAGTTTGCGGAAAAACGTACAGCGCGATACAACTACTGGCAGGTATTATTATTTTTTCTCAACTTTCTCACTAATTAAAAAGTGCATAACAATCCTGGTGAATTCACTAGTAACAAGGTAACATAGTTTGTCTATCGATTAGCCATATTCCGAATGCATACTACTGGTTTTCGTCAGCCGATGAGGTAAACTGGTTTATATCACCTAATAAAGCATCATGTTCCACTTTGGTTGACTGATTTCCTATAGGTACATTTCAATAACATGTTCCCTTGGCAAACCACTGTCATATAACTCTTCGGTTTTTTTTTTCTCCTTTATTGCAACGATCCATATAAATTTCTAGTACTAGGGAAATCAGCCAAAGTATGATCAAAATTTAACTGTGCGACTTTGCTTCACAGAAAAAAAAGGGATGAATAAATAAAACAATGTGGCTCCGAAATGAATCGTTCCTAAAACTTCCGCTCGGTTATTCTTTATTATTTTCATTTACGTTTTTTTGAGTTAAGAATGAATATTTGCGCAGAAAGGATAACTTGTCAGCAACGCTTCGGGACAAACTATCACCATTTCTTATGGTTTATAAAATAATTTTTATTATATACCACCACCATTAAAATAACCATTTGCAAGACTCTATTCTCAAAACACTTATTGTTCATCTCTTTAAAGTTTTGACTTTCCAGGGGGCTAATCACTAAGACATTGTGCTTTGCTAATCGACTTGGAGCTCGCCGATTGAAACGCGCGAAAAACAATATGCAGATCTTGCCCTCGTACCAATTTTTTATTTACTGAATAAGCTATTGTAAGTCATCATTTTGAAAGACAACAATTTAAGCTGTCCGGAAAGACCTCTAGAATACAAAGGGAATGGAGACACGTCAGGGATAAATAGCAAGAAAAACACAAAGTAGGAAGACTTTGTCGACAACACGAGGTTGAGTTCTCCTTGCAAACGTTAAAATTCACAGGCAAACATAACAGTTAATTAATATTTCTTGGACTAGTTTTCTTGAATCATGTAGCGCTGAAGACTGTCTAGAGTTTGTCAACTACCAATTGTCAACCTTTCCAGCACCAAGCATTGCTCTTTTTACTTTTGTTTTGAGTTGTATTGCTTCCTACGATGCCAAACTTCTTTCCACAGTTATTATGTACTTTTTGCATTGGATAGCGTTGGGTTCCATCATTAAGCCATCCGTATCTGCAACATAATGAACGATTAAGGAACTATGCTTGTCAATTAAACATTCTGAGTAAAGGTGCATCCTCGTCACTTCCACTGACACTAGGATGATGATTACGTACACATTGCGGAGGTTAGGCATTTAGCAGAGAGAAAAATCATTTTATTTCAGACAGAATACTAGCTGAAGATAGGAAATTAAGCCAGTAAAATTCTGTCGGTTTGTTTATTTTCGTTTCCTATTCAATTGCTGGCAATTTTTCTACCTAAAATATTTCTGCAACTTCCCCACAAATAACTATAATATGTCAGATATTCCATTTTATTTATCATAGGCAGCAGTTGGAGTTAGGTGAGAGTGCTAATAGTATTGATGACTAATATGAAAACGTACGTATAAAACGAAAAAGCCAAAGCTTTCAGACAGAACTTACAGGCACAATTCAAGACCGACTTCCCATGCTGCAAACAGCTGGTCGTATGTAGCGAGAGTGGCTCTGTTTATTTCACAGAGCCTTTGGGCCTCGTAATAATTTAGCTGATATCTTTTGCTTGTCACCGCTGCATGGAAGACGCCTTTAGCCTCAGGTTCAAAGTAAATCGTCATATTATTGGTATCTGGAAAAGAGACAAATAACTAAACAAAAGCCGAGCAAAACAAACAAATTGTCAACAAATAAAAAAACAACAACAACAACAAACTAAAATAATAAGTAAATAAATAAGTAAGGTTTGGAAAAAAGAAAATAATGCAACAACAAACAACGTCTAGTCAACGTTCTATCATCCATGGCCACTTCGCCGCTGTGTTGCATTTTCCAGTGTAGAAGTTGCGCTAGTGTTATTGTAATATGTGACCCTCCAAAGGAAAACGTAGACGAAGGTGAACGGACGGGCACGAGTGTAATGACACAGCACGCTATGCTTTTCACTAAATTGAATTTGCAGATATGTTCATTTTAATTGTCGTGGTGTTTCAGCGTAAAAACAGTAATAAAATCAGATTAAAAGTAATCATAGTCTTGAAGCCATAACAAATTTAGGGATAAAAACTGAACAAATAGGAAGGCAACCCCAAAAACCTTGAGTAGGCTTGTCAAATACGGATGAATTACTCATCCTTTGATAGAAACCGCTTAGCGAGACTGTTTTGAGATAAAAGGGCAAAGAATAAAGTGTCAAATACTTGATAAATCGTTGCAAGTTACCTTTGTTGTCAGAATGTCAACGGAGGGACTCATCAGTGGGCAGAGAAATATTACCTAAAATTTGTCTGATGGTTCAGACTGGAAGTCTGGAGGTGGCTTTGTTGCTTTGCTTTGTTCGGGCTAGATAATTTTCTCCACGAGGTAGAAAATATTAAATAGAATAAACAGAATTATTTGTGTCGAGTGCGAAGCAACTAGAAGGAGCGGTAAGAGATTGCGTAAGTGCTACATATAGGACAAGAAATGACGCAATGTTGTTACGGTTTCTGTGAAGGTTACTGTACGTGACAGGCTACATGAAGAAAGCGATCATCACGTGATATTAATGTCAGAAGAATGCGAAGCCAGTGACGTGGCGTAGCCACGTCGATAGTTTTTCGCAAGATCTGCCGTGATAAGTCGGAAATCCTCGTGTTAAAAGCCGAGCGTTTAATTTGTTCCAAAATTTCCAAAAACGGATTTCATATTAAAATTATATTTTCAATTGCTTAAATATTTGCAAAATTTTGTTATTCGGAAGTCATAATTTGTTTTAGTTTTGCTTCCGAATACAAGTAGTTGAGAAACCCTCCCGTGCATGAATTTGCTTCGAAACTCATAGTCTATTGTTAACTAGATTATCAAACAAATTCCTTGAAAACTATTTTGGTACGCTCCTGCATCCATTTATAATATAA